ATTTCTTGGGTCTATATTTGTAGTGCCACATGGTGACTCCAAAAAGAAACTCACTGCACTACTTTTTATGTTTTCTATGCTGTGAGATGAGGAAGATAAAGACTCTGACCACTTAGATACAGTTCTTTGAATCATTGTTATGGCTAGCTAGCATAGTAACACAGTCCATATGGAAATTTGAGTGTATTGTACTTCTTAGGCTTAATAATCATTTTTCGTAAGTCTCAGACAAAATGGGAATGCTCACCTGACATAAAACTATTTTTTATACTGTGGAAAACAAATCACAGAAAACTTATTTTCAAGTTGCCAATAACTTCAGAAATATAAAAATGAAGGCTGGCTCTTGTAACCCTCCGACCTTCCCGCCTACTCCTTCCATTGAGTCCAACAACCACTCTTTATACTCCCTTCCTTAAACACTCAAGCTCCTTGCCCTCTGGCTCCTGCATCTTCTCATCTCAGTGGACATACCTTCCTTCAGAAGGTTCTTCCACTTCCTTAGCTCCAAGGATCACCCACATACAGATAACTCCCTAGCTATATTCAGATCCAAACGTGCTTCTATTTCTAAAGTCATTTAACCAGGTAGCCATGTGTCTCAAGGACCTCTCTAGGGAATTATTTCTCTTGACCTCAACCAAAGGACTGTACTTGTTTCCTACTGCTCTAGGGATTCACATGATCAAACTGAAAATCAACCACATTTGGAGAATTCTTCAATCTCCTCTGTCTAGTCAGTTAGCAAGTCTTACTGATTCTACTTCCTACATGCCTTTACATTGACCCTTTTTCTACTTGTTTCCTTCTACCAGCTGCATGGAGTACCTACCATCATCCTGAAACAATAGCATTAATACTTTTCCCAAAAAAGTTCATGAACTTTTAAAAGGAACCCACACTGGGGAGATGGCTTTCAGGGATATGAATGGCAATGATGTTCCCACCCTTCATCAGCACTCTATGCTTTCCATTCTTTCTGGAGATGGTCTGTGACAACAGGGCCTTTGCATGTCACACCAGTACACAGTGTACCTTTAGGAACTCATCAAATTTGCCCAGATTATTATTTCTGCTCATTTAGATAGCATCTGTCAAAACTTATTCCAACTGATTGAGTGCCAAAGTAGAATTCCTCTTGGTAGCATCTTCTCAGAATTTTCTCTCGGTTCTTTGTGACCACAATTTTCTGATAGGCCCAAGGAAAGGCACTAAGTTAGAATGTTTCTAGTTGCTATCTTGTGGGAGAGATGAGAGTGTCACCTTCCTGGCCCTCTCCACCTCCAAGCAACAACAACTAATATCTCTTTGTATACTGGACACATTAGCCTTTTTTCAGTTACGTATTACAAATAGTTTCTCAAAATGAAAAATATTTGCTTGTGCTGATGGTTTCTTACTCTGCCCAGCTGATCAGTCCCAGAGAATCTGTGCAAGAGCTCTGGTCTAGGGTTTCCCCTCACTCTTGCTTTGGTATTACCTTTGTGACCCTGTATGGCATGGATTGTGTCCTTCCCCAGGGATACATAACAATTTATCTCAATTGTGCTGGCCTTTCTGTGCCACCAATTTGCAAACTGTGTAAACTAACAACTGAGGTTATAACAACTCTATGATGTTGTTTTTGTAAAACTGTACAAAATACAAACCAATTTATACTGATGGAAAGCATATTGAGAGATTCCCAGGGAAACGATCTGGACAGAGGAGCAAGAAGAGCAAACTACCATGGAGCACAAAGGGCCAGCAGGCATGAGGGAGAGGATCACAATGAATTATGATATTCCTTGAACAAGGGGTTTACGTGCCAAAGCATATCAAATTATATACTTTATACCTAACCAGCCAACAGAGGCCCATGATACTGCCATAAAGCAATGATTTCAGGTACATGTACTAGAAACTGAGGAGTAAAACTGTCATTCCTAATAGCCACCATTGGCATATACAAAAGAAAGTCCAAAGTAATCTATAGAAAATTTGCTTTAAGCACTGCATGACTTCAAGATGTAGGTACAAAGTCACTTTTCAAAACCAACTGGACTATTCAGAAACAACAAAAGGAAAAATAAAGTTATGAAACACCATTCATTAGAACTTTTGAAAGAACCAATTAGGGAAAACTCTACATAGAAAAATAAAGTACCCCTGGTACACAGTAACATAAATGGAAAAAAAGGTCTATACCATGATTAGGGATTGTGAAGTTGAATACTATTAAGAGGTCAAGTCTTCTTAAAAACATTGCTGAATCCAATGTAATTTTAGAACTCTAGCCATATTGTGGACAAATTCACAAGGTGAGAAATACTTACATAAAAATGCAATTCTGAGAAGGAGAAAACCAAATTTGGAGAAGTACTTTCAAAACTTACAGTAATCAAGAAAATATCATCTGGTCATAATTATACACATACAGATCATTAGAAAAACATAGAAAGTCCACAGATGAATCCATATAAAACACAGTTCATCAATTTTCAATGAATTTATCATGATAGTTCAAAGGAAAACACAATTACTATAATGGAGCACATAGGAAATAATTTGGCATTAGGAATATGATTTGCAACTACTCTGCAGTGATGGATACATGCTGTCACACATTTGTCAAGTATCAAAAAACTACATACTGTAAAGGAGCACACTGTATTGCATGTAAATTACATTCTTAAGGAAGCTGTATAAGTAGAAAGGAAGAGCTCAGAGTAAAAACACATGCTCAGCACACATCACTAAGGATAGCCAACCAAAATATTGTAATCATGCCAAAAAATTAATAAGCAAACTACCTTCCACAACACAGATTTATGTAGCTTACAGGTACAAAAAATCCAAATAGCTCAATGTTACAGTATGCTAAACTGCACGTACAAGGGAATTACAAAATCGAATACAAAGCGCAACCTGATGAATGAAAAGTACACTGTAGGATCCCCTGACTTCAGGGCTAACAACGGGCGTATGAAAAAAGTCACCTCTGCTACAGAGCAGTGTGGGTAGTCACACTTGCCAGAGACACCAATTTAACAACATGGGGTGATGCTGAGAAAACTCTCACATCCACAACAGCACCTCGGGCTGCTTACTCGGATACCAGTCTTACCCATGTGCAGGAGCAAGCACCTACAAGAGATGCATTCAGAACTATTACTAATCAGATAATTAGAAATAAAATGGTGTCTACAAATCGTATAATATAAAAATAAAATGTGGCATTCATGAAATGCTTAAGATTAAAGAAATAAATATTCATACATACACGAGGCTCACAACCAGAATGCTAAAGAAACTGCTGGAGAGTGGCATAGGCAGTATGAAAAAAGTTACCTCTGCTACAGAGCAGTGTGGGTAGTCAAAGCATGCCTGAGACTGGATCAGTTGAATCCACCTGTACTTATGGCAAGGCGTCTCATGGGGAGAGGAAAGTTCGAGCCTGGAACCAAATGAAGGTTATGTTGGTGTCACTTAAATGTTTAAGTTATTCTGAATTAAAAGTCATGAAAGATTAGCATTTTTTCTCATCACTCATAATTGAGTATTTTATAAATTCCTGCCATCTTCAACATTTCAAAGGTGAAATAATTTTTAAACATATGAAATATTTAGAATGACAAAAATTGAATAACTTTCAGTTAATCTCCTTTAAGCCGAAATTAGTGATACTGTGAAAAATTCAGCATTGACATGTCTACAGAGTGATTATACTAATCCTTTATGGATGATTTTCAAATCTCTACAATTTGCACATTTCCGTAAATCCTTTTCAAGTCAATTACTTCTTTTTCGTTGGAACTGGGGATTGAACTGAGGCCCTTGCGTTTGCCAGGCAAGTGCTTATTCTACTGAGCTGTCTCCCTGGTCCCTCAAGTCAATTACTATAAGACTCAATAAATCAATTTTTCTTTCTGCTGTCCCCTCAACATTGCTGGGGAACCAATCTCAGTAGACAGGTTGGTACAACAGATTTTTTAAACACTTCCTGTGTCACCGTCTCCATTCACATAGCAGCCTAGGCCCACAGGCCCATGGAGAACCCTTCTTAGTGCTTGGGACTAGTTCTGCAGAGTTACTGCCTTGGTCAGTACTTCCATGCTAACACTTAGTCTTTGATTTCACACAAACAAAGCCATTTGCAATTAATATATGAAGAAACTTTTAAAACTGTTCAACAGCAATGATATGTTTAATTAATCAATTAAATGTCCCCTCCACTTTTAGTATCATCATTTACTGCCATCTTCTGATCAAAAAGCTCACACCACAAATAATTATTTGTCTCAGAGTACCACTTACCTCTAGATAAAGATCGAATGAATTTGCAGTATTAATTGCAGGGGGCCAGGAAATAGCTCAACAGATTAAGCGCCTGCAGGGGCCAGGGGTTCAATCCCTGGGCCTACCATACCAGCCCCACCGCCAGTACTCCCTGAGATGGTGACTGAGGTTGCGCTTGGCAGTGTACCCTATAATCCTAGCTTTTGGGAGGCTATAAACAGGTGGATCACTATGAGTCTGTTCTATTAGTGAGACGCTAAAGACCCTGTAGACCCTTCCCTAAAAACACACACAAAAAAAGAAAAAGAAAAAAATTGCAAAGGTGGATATTACCTGTGTCTGGCATGCGTAATCATCCAGCAGTCTTCCAAAACTGAAGGTACTACTGTAATGTTTGTAAAAACAATGAAGTCACTTTATAAAAAATAATAAAGAAATAAAATGTTGACACACTTTATTTTTATTTCTATTGCTGCTTCTTAGTATTACAGAATGGCTTGCTTTGTTTGGCAGAGTGAGTGTGTATTTAGCCTATCTTTATCTCTTTCAATACATCCACCCCTCTTCCTTTTCCTTTTGCAGCCCAGTGAAGCCCTCTCCCAGTGACAAAATTGTACCTTCTGGATTCTTGCCACCCCTCCTTGGGAATTTGTACTTACTGTTATTTGTCAGATAAGAGAAAACATGATGGCTCACTCTTCTGTCTGAATATTTTTACTTACCTTGCTGCTTTTCTGCAGGTAGATCTATTTTTCCTAAAACTGACATGATTTCTTTCTTTACTGTTAAAAAATAAGAGACATATTTTTCTAGAAAAAAATAAAAATAAAACAAGTCAATAACGCAGTTTCTGATTACTCTACCATCCACATTAGTCTGACAGCAGTTTAATGTATCTAATCATCTGGCATGGAAGCGCTTGGTTAGCTCCCTGAGACATAATGGAAAGTACCTGAAGAGGTTGGTCCTGCCCTAAGCTGTGGTGAAAGCATAGGGGGACAGCCGCACCATTCTTCTAGCAGCAGAGGCACAGCAATCAGGGTAGCAGCCCTAAGATAATTAGGTAACATTTATATATATATATATATATATATATATATATATATATATATATATATATATGATTGTTTCAGGGTCTAACCATGCAGTTGGGACTCCTAGCGATCCTCCTGCTTTCAGCCTACCCAGTGCTGGGATTATAGGCATGCAGCACTCCCCCTGATCTCTGGCTGGCTCAGCCCACCCTGAGGGCAGAGCCAGCACAGCATGTGGTAATGGCTGCTGCCCTCCCCCCCTTTTCTTTTTTAATGCATTTGTCACAGGGTGTCACACACTGCTTGGTGTGACATGGGGTGCCTGGGATGGAGCCCGGTCCCTGTGTTTGCCTAAGCAGGCACTTAGTCCACTGAGCTATCTTCCAGGGCCTAAGGTACCTTTTGTACATACAGGTGTGCAGAGCCCAGCATCCTCGAGGGGGCACCAGGTCCTCCAGCTGGGCCCTGTCTGCCCATTGTCTGGAGGCCGAAGTGCCCCTTCAGGTCCAGCCCCCTCATGCCCGCTCACCAATGCCTAGCGCCCTGCCATGGTGGCTCCTGGGCTGCTGCAGGCCACGCACCTACTCAATTCCAGGTGCCGGCTTCCGTGCCTGCTCACCTGCGCTTGCTTTTCCTGTGTGGGCTCCTCAGGAGTGGGACTTCCAGGGCTGCTTTGGATGGGCCTCTGTGGGCTTCTTCCTTCTGAGTTCTTAGATTTCTTCACAGGCCCTACAGGAGGCGGATGGTCACCAGCTGCCCTTTGGGGCCACCATAGGGGGAAGGGCTTCAGTGAGGGAGCTGGCCCCTCCCAAACTGCAGGTGGCCTTCCCAGTGCACATGCTCCCTTCTTGCCCAGGCCCAGTACCCTGTCAATTCTCTTTCATCCAATGAAACTACCAGCAGGCCTAGTGAGATCTGCAGCCCTGCAATTTTGCTGTGCGGCTTTGCTAGTGCTTCAGTCATTCCCTGTATTTGGAGAGGGAAATACTTCAGTTCAGGGAGTGGGCCTGCAGAGGACAACAGCGTGACAACGATGCTGAGTCATCTTCTGCAAAATCAAGTCCACCAGCCCCATCGGTGTGGCCGAGGTGTTAAGAAACCAGCCGAGGGATGTTATGTGCACCCAGATATTCTGGGAGAAGAAGTCAGGCAGAGGCCACCCTGGTTTAGAAACACAAGTTCGAGGCCTCTCCTAGTTTGTAAAACCATCTCTGGGAGAGAGCCGAGAGACTCTGTGTTTAGAGACTTTGAGTTCTAAAACCTCAAGTTTACTGAAACTTTTTCTTTCTAATTAAATTTATTGGTGTATTTTACACATACATAAAAATCACATAGAAAATTTATACATATATGGGGTTGGGGACATTTCTCAGTAGAATAAGCACTTGTCTGGCAAGCACAAAGGCCTAAGTTCAATCTCCAGTTGGTGGGGGGGGGGAAGGAAAAGAAAAGAAGGAAAGAAAAAAAAAGAAAGAAAATTCATACATATGTGTGATATATTTTGATTGAAGGGAGGGTAGGAGAATAAACAAACAAATGAGGAACATATTTAAGTGGTCTGATTTCTCAGCAAATACATTAAGGTTTACCATACTTGTTATAATTGAAATATTTCAGTATATCTGAATTCATTTCTCCATATTCCAAAAAACTTACATTAAACCATGTAAATGGGTGGTATAAAATTGTTATTGATTGTTAATAAATAAAATATTAATGATACTTTTATTTTTAACAAAATATATGCAAGCTGCCAATGTTCAAACATTTTACATTACAAAATACAGTCATTCTTGGTATTATTTTACAATACTACAAATATTTTTCTTAAAAGCTTATTATTCAAAGTCTCTGGGAATTAGCCAAGGTTTTCCATGCCAGATGATTAGCTTTGGAATATTGGTTGTATAAGACATAACTCTCCTGGTTGCAAAGTGTTTAAATTGGTGTGCATATAACATTTTTTCACTCTTTTTCAAATTTATTTTAATGAGAAAAAAATAAAATAGCAACTAAACAGTTTCAAAACAGGATAGTAGGACAGTTACCGCAATTAACACCTTGCATATTGTTGTCTTCATAGTAGTTATTCAGAGGACAAGGTGCAGACATGATCGCTTGTCTAAACTATATTAGTACAAACCTTTCTTCTCAATGAACTAAGAAAGTAGCTGTATATCAATCCAAACTATCTTGTACAGATAGTTTTTTTTCATAACAAAATGGTTCTTTATTTATATCCCCCCTTTTTTTTTTCCACAAATAGGTGTTCCATTGCAGTTAGAGAATCTGAGAAGCAGTATTTGGATCACTCTTTTTTCCAATAATTTCATTGATAAACAAATAGAAGTGAGACAGTTTCAAATCTAATGGCTAAGACAGTTTCAATAATTAACACACTGCATCCATTGTTCTTAGTGGTTAATTGCTGTACAAGATGCAGGCCTGAGATCCTATTTACAAACACCACCAGAACAAATCATTCAAGTCATTAAGAGAATGTAACTATATATCTACCCTAACCACTTTGAATACACAGATACAAAATGGACATTTATCTGAATACCTTTTTATTTTGCTAAGTTCCGTAATTTGAATTTTATAGGTGTGTAAACTCAGCAAAATATTCTAAAAGAGTCCAGTACTCCATAATACCATTAGAACTTCTGTTTAACTGGCAATGTCAGAAATTGTTGACCAGAGTCCCCCGCAGCTCAACATAACAACAAGGCATTACTTCCTATATTTTGTCTTCATACTTTTCTACTGGATGGTAAAGACCAAGGTAAAGCAGGACCTATTCAACAAGAGTTGTAATTTTTGGGACTGAGAAGGTCAGTGAAATCATCCTGTACTTCAGATTGTAGAACCTTTGTCAGTGTCAGTCATGTGGATGAGTCACTGACCTTGCTTGGCCAATGTGCTCTCTGTGAAAGCCTGAGAGAGTGTTTTCTCTCCATGTGACTCTCCTTAGGCACACTCTACATCATCAATCACTTTCCTCTTTGGCCCCATAATCTCCTTGATCAGAAAATTTGGGACACTACCGAGTTGTGTGACATTACAATACAAGTTCTCATATGTCCTGAGTCTTAATTGACCTTAGAAGGTTAGGGTTAAAATGTTGGCTTTCCTTGCAGCCTTCTTTCTCTCTAATTTTGGTCTGCAAATTTAGGTTGTTAACTATCCAGAAGAAATGCTTATTCTTATTATCAAACAATGTAGGCTATTAAGCTGAACCTCACTATCTGTCTGCATATCGAACATCTTAGGCATAATAAGGAACAGGTATTTTTCATCAAGTATTGATATGTTGAACTTTAAGTCCCTACATAATATGATAAAAACATTTAAAAATTAGATTATATTTTAAAAATAAGATAAAGAATTCTACACTTCTCATGTTTGCACATAAGTCCAAAAATCTCACCATGTACAACCTTGAAGCAGGACAGTCCCACAATATTCCTTTTCCTGTCTCTTGCTTTCATTCAACACCCCCTTCTTCTTGAACATCCACCTACCTGAGAGACATCATAGCAGCAACTGGAATGTCATGACAAGTAGCCCATATTCAGAATACCAGAATGAGAGGCACTCCAAGCATGAAACTACTATTACAAATTACCATCTGCAGTGCAGTAGCTTAGTTCACAGGTATCAGTATATATAGCTAGTCAGGGTGGGAATATTTCCAATTTACTGCTAGATTAAAAAATCTTCTGAAGATTCTCAGGATCATTGCCTTGCTCATTTTTTACATATAAATGTATGGCTTGACATTGTCAGGTTTCCTGGCTCTTCTCCTTTCCCTATTTTGATTAGTTAGTCCTTCAGAATCTGCTTTCCTTTTCCTTGTATTATATTTTTCTATTTGTATTTCTTCTTTGAGTTCTTATACTAGGGAGACTATACGATATTTACACATGTATGTCTGGTTTATTTTACTTATGAGTATATGTTCAAGTGGCATCAACTTCAATATAAAGGCTTGGAGTTTATCATTCTTAATAGCTGAATAATACTCCATTGTGTAAAAATACCACAACTTTTTCAACGATTCCTCAGGTGATGGGAATCTTGGTTGTTTCCAAGATTTGGCTATCACAAATTGTGCTGCTATAAAAGTAGGCACACATATATCACTATGATATGATGATTTCAGATCATCTGGGAAAATTCTCAGTAGAGGAATAGCTGGTTTAAAGGGGATTTCCAGACTAACTTTTCTAAGGAGTCTCCATGCTGATTTCCATGACGGTTGCAGCAGTCTACATGCCTACCAGCAGTGAGAAGGTTCGTTTTTTATAGCCCCTCCAACATTTGTTCTTGGGTGATTTCTTTATGATAGCCATTCTTTCTGGGGTGAGATGATATCTCAATGTGGTTTTAATTTGCATTTCATGATTGGCTAGTGATGTGGAGCATTTTTTCATATATTTATTTGTTTCTTTAATTTCTTCTTCTGAGAAGTATGTGTTCAGCTCGGATGCCCATTTCTGGATTGGGTCTTTAAATTTTGAGGCCCTGGTGTTCTTTATAGATTCTAGAGAGCAGACCTTTCTCTGAGTACTTATTTGTCATGAATTTTTCCCAATTTATGGGTTGCCTTTTCACTTTGTTGGTAATTTCTTTTGACGTGAAAAATCTTCTCAGTAAGAGCAGGTCACCCTTGTTAATTCTTTCAACTGTTTCCCGAGCGATTTGATTTCTGTCCATGAACTGTTTCCCTACCCCTATGTCTTCAAGAGTTCCACCTACTTTCTCTTC